AATGTTGGCAATTTTTTCTGGATTTGAATTCTATAAGACTATCAAAGTTCAGGGAAAGAAAAAGGAAATCGTTTTCTTGTGTTCTCGTCCTCCACAAAACGTGACATTAGGCATTTTCACGTCGTAGTGGTGCAGTGACGGCAAAGAAATGTAGAAAAAAGCGTGATGCACGTGCAAAGTTGTTGTTTTGCCAATCTAAGCCTATTGCTTTTTTGACGTTCTCGTTGACGTCGCTGTCGTCGTTGCTTAATAAGCTCCCTTTTAGCAAAACAACAACTTGGCACGTGCTTCACGATTTTGTGTACATTTCTTTGCCGTCGTTGCACGACCATTACGTGGAAATGTCTAATTTCAAGTTTTCTGCAGGAAGCGAACAAAAGACACGATTTGCCAAAAAAATTCTTTTTTCAAACTTAGAAACAGTCCTTTAGAATTCAACTCCCAACAGTTGTCAAATTAAATGACATAAAAAAAATAGTAATGATAATAAAAAATAAGCAGAACGATGAATTTTGAAACGTAACAGCGTGAATTCACTTTTTAAGATACGCATTCGCCATCGTCGTCCTTGCTTATAAGCTAACTCTTCCTTCATACAAAAAAAGAAGTTTGTTCCTGTGAACACTGGCAACCAAGCATTGTTTCAATGATTTAAAATGGCATCAAGGGAAAATTCTGTACGTAAAAAAAAGCCGAGTTTAAGAGCGTGGAGTTTAAAATAATTATTAAACGACACTTACTGGGCTAATTCCTTTAGTCCTATTTTGCCGTCCTTGTTTTCGTCATATCTATCCATCTAGCACACGCACAAACAAAATAAGACGTGTTAGATGAATAACGTAATGCAAAGGCGAAAGTCAGTTTGAATAATAAGATACGCCAGTCTTTTTCTTTGACAAATTTTCTTGCTCCAATTGTTCGTTTGGCATCTTGTCTCGAAAGGCCTGGGACCGTTCAAGATCTAACAAAACAGCAATTACCAGAGACATTGGCCTCGATTACCAAACCAGCTGCATGCTAAAGAAAGGCGACTTCTGAGTGCGCTTTACCTAAAAAAACCCTTAAATTTGTTACTGACCTTGGGCTTGTAAGTGTTTCTAATTATACTAAAAAAACATAACTTTAAGGCAGAATCAGAATGTTTAGCCCTTTCTGTGATAATGAACCATTTTAGAGTGTACATGATAATTATCCGGTATATTAAGACGGAATCCACCAGGAAATTTTAATTTTACGTGGACAAAAACCTTGAAGTAGAACAATCTAAAGAATATTGCATTCTTTTTTATCTTTTTCAAGCACTAAAGATGTAATAAATCATCTGTAGTAACACCAAAGAAAATTTCTCATGGAAGTCCGAGAAAGTGAATGTCAAATTTCACAAGAATTTTTATTACACATGTAAAATTCTGAAATTTCATGAGTAAGATGTAATTATGTGAAATTTGACATTCGTTTTCTCGGGCTCCCATAAGAAATTTTTTTTGGCGTTACTGCAGATAATTTATTACACGTTTAGCCCTTGAAAAATGTAAGAAAGAATGCAATATATGCTTTGAATTATTCTGGTACAAGATATTTGTCCACTGAAAATCAAAATTACTCAATGTCCTGGTGGATTCCGTCTTAATTTGTAAAAAATAATTGTACCATAAACGATTTGTAGTCAGCAATTCGCTGTGGATTTAGATTATGACCACCCTGTTGCAACATATCCTTGAGAAAGGCGTCGATCTCATCTCCTTCCAAGTAACCACTCATGTCACTATCATAATGGTTCCATATCTGCAAAGAGATAATATCAGTATTGTTTTTAAATGGAAATTAACTAAAATTCAACACAAATGGAGAACCTTGTATTCACTTGAAGAAGTATTTGAGTACTGTACTTTCTATCTTTCTTCTCTTTCAATGTCTTATTTTCTCCTTTTATTCATAGTTACTTTCTACACTGATCCAATGACGTGGAAAAATGTAGTGTTGATCGATATAGTATTAGTGAGTGGAAAGGTTTAAAAACTGGAAGGCATGCTTAAACTTTCAAGATCAGAAATGAACTGATTCTTAATGCTTTAGGTCTTGATATCGTGGATAAAAAAGCTATCAGAGATTTCGACTTGGGACAAGCTTAGGGCTTTCCATATCAGAAGTAAAGGGAATTAGGAGAAAACACGTCATAAGGTAAAATAGCCAATACGGAGTACGGTTAAACTATTTAGCCAAAGAACAACACAATTAAATGAGAAACTGTGATATGTGACTTTGATCGAAACGCGCCAATGACATTGCAAGTGTTCATAGCCAATCTTACGGCTTAAGTGACAGATGACAAAAAACATCGCCACTTAATTGACCAATCAGGTCACTATACAGAGTTGAATACCATCAACTGACGTGATACAACTCAGTTTGACTCTGAAGATGACTACCGCACAGGTTGTCGGAACGTGAGTCACGGTCAACAATAACAGTGCTATCAAGAGCTCTTAGTCCTATTCAGGACGTCGTTCACCTGGACGATCATACTCAACCTAGCCTACTTATGAATTGACTCCTGGGTTCAAACCTTTCACAAAAATAAAATGTTTGAGCCCTGGGGCACTTCACATTCAGCCCAAAATTCTGGAAATTTCGGTTAGAAATCAAATGGAACGGACCATTTCGGTTCGGACCGACGGGAATAATCAGCAAAGACGGCAAAGTGCATTTAAGTGGTTACTTGCCTTTATGAATTTAATGCTGTCCATTGAATCCAACTCAAATTCAGATCGGAACTGGTTAAGGTAGTTTTCCTCTGTGGGAAGGATATTCTCAAGCTAGAAAGGACAAAAAAGACTTAAATTATTACCTGTGGTCATATTTTTAAAGCAGGGACCAAATAGTAATTGCGGTCACAATGTCATGGGTGCTTCCTCATCTACCCACCTAAATATTACTTACCTAAGCCTACCTACGTAACTACATCCTTTTGCTGTACAAAACTAACGTTATTGCTGGCAAGCAAAAGCGAGACCGCACACACTATTCCGACTACCAAGCAGGCAAGATTTTCGTGAAATGACGGTTTTTTTTAAGTTATCCGTTGAGCAGTTATTAATTTTAATTGTAATTACAATTATAATGGCTCTTGTAATTCGTAGCACGCGCGAGCAATTAGCGTAATTTCAAATCATTGAGAACGGGTTTATATTTCAGTCAGTGAGCATATCGATGAATGTGCGGCGGGATTGACTCCTCAGTTTACTATCTTTCCGTTTTACAAGATTCTCAGCCCCTCCGAGGGCATGAGAAAAAACAAAGAGAGGTTTTTTATTTTGAAATATAAACCCGTTCTCAATGATTTGAAATTACGCTAATTGCTCGCGCGTGCTACGAATTACAAGAGCCATTAGTAAAGGTAATAGCATGATTTGTAGTGATATTTGGCATAAATACCACGAGTGATATTTCGAAATTGTTATACGTAATTTCACGAGCCGTTAGGCGAGTGAAATTTGAGACAATAGAGAGATTAAGATTCACGTTTACGGCATACGGCAAACGGCAAACGTCAGTTGAGAATTTCTCAGAATGGAAAATAAGCAGATAAAAAAGGTCCAGAACTATTCTTGTGGATAAAACTAGCATAAAACTACTTATTTTTGTGTAGAAGCAATAAACAGTAAACGAAAAATAGGGGGAAAACTTGGTCACGTGGTACAAATTCACGTTTGCCGTTTGGTGTAAACGTGAATCTTAATCTCTCTAATTTTGAAATATCCCGAGTGGTACTTATGCCAAATATCACTACAAATCATGCTATTATTTGTTTATACCACTACCCGCAAAAGGTTTGTAATTTTCACATGTAGGTATTTCAAATTAAGCTGAAATACCACTGCTCTAAGCCAATCAAATTGCAGAAATTTCTCATGTAGTGGTATAACAATTGTAATTACAATTACGTCTGTGACGTAATAAGTTAATAAAAACACTTTGCTATGCCTGAAGAGCCGCAACAGCGGTGAAACGCGTAGCGCAAAAGCAAAGAAGACTTTCGTTTTTCATTGTTTTTAGTATCTTCATTCGACACAGAAGTTTACTTTCTATATATATATATATATATATATATATATATAATATATTTTATATGTCAAAAGCTTTGCAATTAGCCTCGCTTTGCAACCCAGCTCTAATGGCATCTCGGAAATAGCCTGTTCTAACTGATTCACAATCCTTTTTTTGCATAAAAGCGGTTGAAAAATGATTTGACTGATAATGGCCTAATGTGTTTCAGCCAAGGTTTTTAACTCAGGGGAGACGAAATCGTTACGCCTAAAACTTTAGCATCAAAACAAATTGAAAATCAATTCTCAACTTTTCACTGTCAAATAAGATCATCAGTTATTGTACGCTCATTTTTCCTTAAGGTCAGTGCTGCCTTTCTAACAGTAACATCTTTCTGTTTTTATCTCTCGCGATCTCTACGAAACCAAAGCTTCTTTAATTTCCTATGAATCTAAAGAGATCGCTGAACACGGGAGATCGAATCATCACACCAAATATCTATCGAAAGGTTCAGCGAAGGAATTAAAGAGTCTTGAATTCAAAAGGGTAAGGCCTGTGCAATCATCCTGAATTCTTTTTCATGTAATTTTTTTTTTTGACCAAATGGCGGCCATGGGGAATCATGATGGAATCCTCAAGTTATAGTCTGCTCTTTTCTCCAGCGTGAAATTTTCAAAAAAAATTATGCCGCTGTGCAAACCCAATACAATTTAATAGTACATAGAAGACCACCCCTCTACCGTGGTGGAGTGGTTTGGGTGTCTCAATGAACCATAGACCTATGTCGGCTGGAGTCTTTGACGATCCTGGTAGGGGCACCTATGCTGAACAGGTCTAAGGATAGAGACTAGACTAAGTGCAGTCCCCTGGTCCTTCAGGTTGGGGGTTGAGGGCTGATAACCCTTTCCAGTAAAACCCTGTTGTTACAGAAAACCAGAAGCAGAGAAAATTCACATTATCAAGGGAACACTGTGGCCTGTCCTCATGAAAGGAGTGACTCTATAATGCGCGGGGGCCAAAGCCAACAGAACGCCACCGAGCTGAATAGGCCACTGGTACACCCCAAAAACATCATAGAGCTCGGAAAATGGAATGTACGTACACTGTACAGAAGTGGTAACATTGCACAGGGATCGAGAGAAATGACCAGTAGAAACATAGACATCATCGGTATTAGCGAAAAACAACACAATCTTGGATTATGACAAACTGGAGACATCAACGCCCTAAGGTATTTTTACACCAAACTGAGCCCCGAAGGGCAGTTATCAGGGTAGGAACAAACTCCCCGCCACTTGCCCCTTAACATAAGAATGTCCATGGGCAAGACAAGATGGGGTATCGCCAAATAGGACAAACCTAACATAAGAATCAAGATAAATAGGATAACCACTAATTGATCACGCAAAAGACTTAGGAATTCAGTGAAAGACACTAGGGTTTACAGCAAGTGACCATTATCTTGTATGCACAACAGTCAAATTGAGGTTGTTTAACCAACCGAAGGAAAAGGAAAGAATTAGAGTCAAGTACGATACGACCAGGCTGAATAATGAAAACATCTTGAGAACATTTAGCATAGCCCTGATACCAGGTGCTTGAAGATGAAGGGCTAGCAGCAGAGGAAGACGAAGAAATAGAGCGTGACTTTCAAGTGATGGAGAAGGAGTACCCTGAGGCTGCAGAAAAATTTCTAGGTTGACCACGAAAGAGGAAGAAACCATGGATCAGTGACGAATCATGGAACCTTGTAAACCGAAGGGAACAAATCACTATAAAATAAACCCAAGCACACGATCAGAAAGAGTCAAGAGACAAATTAGTACGAAGTATACAGAAAAGGACAGAGAGGTTAAGAGGAGTATAAAAGCAAATAAAAGGAACTGGATGGAGAGCATTGCAGATGAAGCAGAAGAAGCTTTAAAGAGGAAAGACGTAAAGACACTATATATGCGGGCTCGCAAAGATTCTGTGCAGTGAAAGATCTAGACAGGGCACAACGATTCTAGACAAAAATGGAAACCTCATTGGTAGTAAAAGTGAAGTAAGGGCAACATTGACTGCAGAAGAGATAGCAGTAAACTAGGCGAAGTCGAGGCAGCGATAAAGTGATTACAGAATGGGAAAGCACCGGGAATTGACGCCATAACAGCAGAGTTACCGAAAGAAGACAGAGTTTTCAGCAGAGAAATACATCAACTGATGAATTAAATATGACAGTATGAGAGGATCCCGAAGAGTTAGACGCAAGGGCTAATCATCAAGCTATCAAAGAAAGGAAATGCCGAGCACTGCAAGAATTGGAGAGGCATAACTTTATTATCTGTTGTGGGAAAGATGTATGCAGGATTATTATCGATAGGATAAGAAGTGGAGTCGATGACAGGTTAAGGAAAGACAGGAAGGATATAGATAAGGAAGAAGGACGACAAAACAAGTATTTATACTGCGGAGCATCATTGAGCAGGCTACCGAGTAGCAAGCAACACTCTATCTGAACTTCATAAAATTTAAAAATGCATTCGACTCTATTCACCGCTAAAACATGTGGTCAATCACGAAGGAATACGGAGTCCCATAAAAGATCATTAGAATGGTAAAAATATTCTATGAAGACTTCATGCAAGTGTGCTGTAGAAGACCAAGGAGAGATAGGCATGTGGTTTGGCATTAAAACTGGCGTCAAACAGGGATGTAACATGTCAGCTGTTTTGCTCTTGATTGTTATGGATTGGGTAATAAGAAGGACTATTGGTCATGATGAGAATGGTATTAGGTGGAAATTCACATCTAAATTAGACGACCTAGACTTTGGAGATGATGTAGTGCTAAACTCTTCTACCAAACAGCAGATTCAGGATAAAACAGCAAGAATGGATCACGAAGCCTGACGAGTGGTATTGAAAATCAACATGAAAAAGAAAAAGGTTATGAGAATTAATGTAAAGAACCAAGAAATGATTATGATAACTGGACAAGGAATAGCAGAAGTGATGAATTCACTTACTTAGGAGCTCCAGTTAATAAGGAGGGAGGTGGTATGAAAGACCAGAAAAACGGACTCTCAAGAGTGAGGAGTGCGTTTGTCAGATAAAAGAGAATCTGGCATTGCGCTCAAAATTAAGATATCGTAAGAAGAACGAAATTAAATGAGACTGCATAAAACACTGGTAAAGCCTGTTCTGCTGTACAGGTGTGAAACATGGAAAATGAAGAAGTGGGACGACAGAACAGTGGATGTGTACATGTTTCATAACAAGTGTCTACGAAGAATCCTACAGTTCCAGTGTCAGGAATATGTCAGCACTTAAGAGCTGTTAGAAAGAGCAGACATTAAACCTATGAGTGAAGAGGTTAAGCAGCGTAGATGGAAGATGATGGAATATTATTACACTAAGACAGGACCAAAACGACGACTGCAACATAGAAATAACTTGGGCACCAGAAGGAAAAAGAATAGGAAGATCAAAAACCACCTGGGGGCCGAACGGTTGAAAAGGAAAGAGCAGAAGCAGGATGGCAATCGTGGGAGGAAGTGAAGACCGTTGTGGGTAATTAAGATAAATGGAGGGACTCCGTGAAGGCCTTATGTGCCACGAGGCACGAAGAGGATAGATGAGATGAGAAGAGTAAGAAAGGAATCCGTCCCTCCTTCCCGATAAACCAAAACAAACGACAAAGCCTTTCGAAATAAGGGAAAGTCACTGAATCGTTCTTACCTCGCACATACTAATTTTCCCATCCGAATTATCATCGAATTTTTCTAGTATGTACTCCTTAAACTTTTCAACTTCTTCTTGCGATGGTTTCTGAAATAAAAGATCTCAAAAAGTTAAGCTCATAAACAAGTACATGTAAAAACGTAGTGCACAAACTGCCAAGTGTAATAGGCCATTTGCACGATGACGTCATTTTACTACAACCACGAGAATCCTTTAGGATTTTGCTTTCTTGTGCTAATTGGGGTTTTTCTTTAGTATTTTTACTTTAATCCTCACTCAGGGATTACCAAATTTAAATTTGAAAGAAAAAAACGAAATGAATCCGAGTCTCAGTAGTAAAAAGACGTCATTGGCAAACAGCCTATTTTCCCTTTTTTTTTTCGCAAAGAACGCTCACACTAAGCCGAAAGAGACAGTTATCCACCAGACGACTAATTGGTCTAGATTATAAATTCGTGGGACGAATTTAGGGGGATTTGGAGTTTCGATAAAGGGAAAAAATAGGTACCAGTTCCCTGAAGTCAAAACTCAATAAAAATCCATCTTTGCTTCCGCCTAGATATAGATTTAGAGACAGACGAATTATAAAACTTCTATGAGAAGTGCTGACCAAATTTCGTCTAAACACCGCATTTATATCTAGACGAGTTATCCGTCTAAGACGGATAATTCCTACAAGACGAATAATTTATCTCTAGTATAAATTCGGCCAAATAACGAGTTAGAATTTGGCAAGGTTTAATTTGGTGATCATACAATAGCCGGTATAACGTCATAAGAAGCCAAATCTTCAAATCTGGTAGCTGAAATGTGAGATTAAGATTTAATAATGTGCCAAATCAGTGAAGTCTATCTTCCATTTTTCAATAAAATCTAAGATGGCGTCGACTTGGCTGATTATTAATTCGTATGACGTGAAGAGTCCACTAAGCAACATAACCTAAATAACTGCACTTTACGTTTTTTCATCCTTTCGCGGTCAGTGGACTAATGAGTCTGCATTACTGCGTAAAAATCATAATTCTACTCTATCTGTTTCCCAAAACCAGTAGTTTACGGAAACAGATAAAACAGACTTTGACTAGATTTAATATAATAGATTCAGCTCCCAGACAGTGACAATCAAATCAAAATTTGAAAATAAGTAAGTATTTCCCTTTTTAAATTTATTAATTCTGAAAGAAAAAAAACTTGATTGGATTGAGGTCCAGCAAAAGAGTAATTAAAGCGACCATTATATCAAGATGTTGGCTATATTAGAAATACTAGTATCAAGTGTTAAATAATTTTATATCAGAATTAAAACACACATTGAAAAGGTCTGCAAAGCTGTTTTTCCTGCCGCTTTATGAAATAAAATCATCAAGTAAGTACATTTCATCAGTCTATCTGGGATATGTTCACGAATAACCTCTGTATAATTAGAGAAACAGGTTCGGCAGAAAAATCTCTGGCTGTGTGATATGTCACGAGGTAAGTAGTAAATTTAATTCCTTGATGCCAGAAACAAACAACATGCCAGAGGCACCCAACGAAAGTTTTCAAAATATCTGTTCGAAGAAGAAAATATTGCTTAGAATATATTATAACTTGAGGACGACAAACATTTCTGGATAATTATACCATTTATGTACGATTTTCGAAGTCTATCTGATAAATTCCCTATTTTCCCATTTATCATTTTTTCACTTTGCACCCCCTAGGTTAAGGTGTATTTCGAAGTAAAACGGAAAAACAAAATTTTCGGATTCAAAAATTAGATAAAGAGAGGAATAAGAATAAAGAGGGCAACCTTCGTAAGGCTCCAAATTAATATTGCTCTTAAATTTTCGGGAAAATAACCCTAGAACCCTAAAACTCAAGTTGTTCCAATGGACAACCGAATAGATGCCACTTTATAGCGCCGTTTAAGATGAATTTCTTTGTATCTAAAAGTACTCTGGATAGCCTAGAGAGTGTTTCAACAATGAACAAAAATCTGTGTAGGAGCAAACCGTGCCCCCGCCCTGACATATGAAAGCATTCTGGAATAAAATCCCGTTGACGACCGTTACCTCACCGAGCTGAATCAAATAAATTTTCGGACTTCACAGTAACAAAAAAATGTCTGTACTTAGATCATTCTAGTGGGTGATGCCACAAAAGAAAGGTCAATGGCATGGCATGGATGAGAGGAGATCATTCCATTCTCACCAAGGATTAATCCAACCTAACCCGATTAAAACAATGTCGTGTTTGATTTAGCATTCCATAAAACATAGCTAATGTTTTTTTTTTTTTACTAATTCTGGCCCCCTCATTCACAGTGAATTTCAGAAAGCTTTCCCAACAGACTGTGGAATTTACAGTCCTACTTTCAACTAAAATAAACAAAGAGACCAAAGAGAAAGTTCTATGAGATTCTTCTTCACTTTGCTGAGGATTTTATAAAACTTGCCATTTTAGTGAAATCTTAAAACCACATTGATCATATTACGATCAAACTGACAACATTAACGGCATTTTCTCACATAAAATTTTAAAGGCACCTCAAAACAAGGAACACGTAAACAGAAGCTTTTTATTTTCTACATGTTTTTCTGGTTGTAAACTAACATAAGATGTTAGTATTTGGACCTATTTGGCGGAAATGAATGCTTCCCTCATCATACTTCTTAGTGCCTACTAACTTTTGCAAAATCTACTAGCAAAATAATTCATTCCAAAGCAGATTTTAAGAACCACAAGAAAAACAAAAATAAACGAAACAATTTAAGTTTAAACCACGTTATCTAATATTTATAAACTATAGTCTGCATCGACTTTTCTAATGATCACTTTACATTTTTTTATGCCATCGACACGTCGCATTTGTGAAATCTGTTTCAGAAAGAAACAACTCTATTTTGTCATCAAAACTACATTTTAGTATTTCAAAAGAATATCGCTGTTGGTAAGGACTATCTGGCCAGATCAGTCTACATATAAATAGTATGCAGGCAGCCAGGTTTTAATAAAAATTCCAAGAACATTTTGATATTTCAGTTTTAAAATTACCCGTCCGACCGATCATTTCTGTCTTTCGGTAGCCCCGCGCTCTAAAAGAAGTTTGAAGATAAAATCTTCTAATAATGAATACGTTTCTTTCTGTGGGGCCTTTTGAATAATTTTGTGGTCATATCAGAGTAAAATATTAATCACTAACATCACAATTACTATTACCCCAAAGATTAAGAAATGTACTTATTATCTACAAAGGCCGCTTTGTTCCAAGAAAGCGAGAATGATTGTTCTGAATAATTTATATGAGTGAGCGTCTTAGATCCTTTTATCCTTTTCTGATATTAATCATCGGGTTTGTTCAGTACTTCACACTTATTCGTTCTAACATTTAAAGGTTCAACAACTTAAAAAACTGTTTTTTGCCCGCTGTTTGCAGAGATAAGTGAGCATGTTAGGTGGCAATGTAAATAAATATTCCTGATGAGCAGAACTATCAATAAATAATACCCATCGTGTAAAATAACCTCCAATCAGATCGCATGCTTTAATAAAATTTGTGAAGATAAATGTCAAAAGAAATGAAACACCTAGCCTCCTCAGTCGAATATTTGCCTTCGATTAGACTTGAATGGCTCTCGTTAGCAAGTAGTTGTTAACGTAACCAGTTCTTCAAATCTTTGGGGTATTTAGCAGAAATGGCTTTCGCAGCAAGATACTACATTATATTGCCAAACAGTTCTCGAGTTTTTTTTTTTTGAAAAAACGTAACCCCTTAAAAGATATCTTCAGGATTACCAAGTCTCCTTATAGCGGACGTGTTCAAAAAGCAGCATTACTGTGAACGAAGACGCCATCCAATGTGCGATTGTTACACGCATCTTGATAGTTATAATGCAAGTTTGGTTTTAAATATTTACATTTCCAAAACAAAACAATTTTTGTGAGTATAAAACCTTTTTTTGCAAATAAAATATTCATACTTCAGCTTCTTTAAAAGCGGGAAATTACGGTGAAAAAATATATTGTATTTATTTGAAACACTTTCACGGGAAATTCAAACAAAAGAACTGATAATTTATCCCAACCCACCTTTTTGTTACAATTTTATGGACTTTGAAATTTGATCTGTATGATCGTATTAAAATAAATCCGTTAATGTATTCGTCATATACTACGATCCAGCTTCAAAAATATAACATTGTTTTTAAAAATAACACTGAGAAACCAACGATATATAATTTTAAGAAGAAAACGGACCTGTTTGAATTTTGTCAATACATCGTGTTTTTGAGAGTTATCCTTTATGAGAAATATCAGGTTGAAGCAAATTTTGGTTGCCATTAGGTACCGCTTGTTCGCCAATATTCGACCCTTTTCTTTTGTGCATAGAGTATTTATATTTACCTCATTTCCCGTTTCTTGCAGAAGGGTTATCATAAATGAGTTCAATTCGTCAGCCTCTATATAGCCATTCCCTAGATAAGGAAATATGTACATACTGGCTTAAATGAAACTCTGATGTGTTTCGCTAGTCGGTCAAGCAGCGATTTAAGTATAAGCTACTGAGATTTCGCGTGTAAAATCTTACCGTCCTTGTCAAATTCCTTGAAGACTTTAACAAATTCTTCAGAGGTGAGTTTTACGTCGCTCTGAAATTGCAGCATACAAGGTGATTTACCGGCTTCCATTTTGCTGGCCCACAAGATCAAAATAACATACACAATGAATAGAACCCGGCTTTAATACTCACCACAGGTTACGAGCATGCGTACATTACGCAAGCTCGCCTAATGATAATATTCAAATTTGAGTCTACGGGCGTAAAACAGGTGTATAATGTGTTTAAAAAACAAAGAACCCAAACAAAGAACAGTGAAAAATATTTCGCCGCCGGCTGAATGTTGTTTGTGGCCCAACGTAAGAAATATCAGTATTGGTTCATAGGATTTGTAGGTCAATTTTTTGGGTAACGCCACATCAATATGGTCTCTCATGCCGCCAAGCGGCGGTCACAAGATAAAACAAGAATCAAGTGAACTTTGTTTGGAATCGAATGCAAATCAGATATGTAAATTAGTCCATCGACGAGCTACCTCACGCAAAACAAAACAAAATAATGTTTCAAGGACGTCTTTAAAAACTAGATATTTAGCCAGATCTTTCTGCGGATTATCCCATGCGGGTAAAATACCGTGTATTTATGGGTTTACATTAATTATGACATTCGATCCTTTTTCCTCTGCATGAAATCATTTATATTATTGATGAGTTCCAAATTAAGGTTTTGCTGTCATGTGACTGCTTGGAAACGAAAATTTAGCCTTCAGATTTTATAGAATCGAAATCCGAGCTCGCTTATCCTTTAAGATATTTTCCCTCGCTAATATTTGTTACGGTCAAAATGTCAAAGAAGGAAAAAGAAGCATTCGTTGATCATCTATGTTTGTTGCTTAAAAGTCAATTTTCAAATAAATATTCCGAAATAAATCTAAGCGCGCATTTGAACAGGTCTGTAAATTCAGTTTATCTTGAGGAACGTAGGTGAATGGGTACCTCCCTGGAGAAAATAACTCATCTATCTCAACTAATCGAAAGGAGATTCAACTTTACATTAACTATCTTTTGGAGATCTCCAACACTGTGTTACGAGAAAACATAAATGAGATAAACTAAAACCACAATAACCCTATGCCCCTCTTCAAATTTGAAGAGTTGAAATAATATATTTAATTATTCTTACTACAAGAAAGGGTTTTCCCCGTGATTTGGATATAAACTCTCTTCAGCTTATATCAATCCAAAGTGAGACGTGATTAATCTTATTTAGAAACAATTTATATCCCTGAATCGCAAAATATACTATGCATACAAATCTTTTGACAATGAAGAACGTATTGCCGGTGAAAAGAGAAAAAAGGCGGGGGGAGGGGGGGAGAGAAGAAGAATTGATTACTTACACCACCAAGGGCTACAAGTCGGAATTCACTTACACGACAACAAGCAAAAGCAGGATCACCCACGATTATTTTAGCAGTCGCGACTGAAATAACATTATTGCAAGAGAAATTAAATTTACCTCGATACTGTATTGGTCAGTTTTTTTTTTTACTCTTACAGACTGACTATTTACCCGAAAAATTGGGAATACCCACTGCCCAGATTGAGAAAAGTCCACTTCCGGTTGACGTGCATCAAATAAAAACGTCTTTGCTTAAGCTCACTAATGACTTTTTAAGAAGTTCATAACGGGTCGCTGAGGACAAAAACGAGGTCATTTACACATGAAAATCGTGCTTTATACGCTTTTAATACAATCCGATCGGCCAATGCGCTTCCAAAGCGCCAAAACACTGGCACTTATTCCAAGTTAAGCGCGTAAATTACCATGTTTTGGTGTCCGTGGCAATTTTTGCTAACTCAAATGGTTTTCCCATAATCATTTCGCTGAAAAATACTTAATATGACCAAATTAATAGCGACGGTGCCTATTTGTGCTCCTGTCGACAGTAACTTTAGGGAATCAATTTCAAAAATGCCCATGAAACATGCAATTTTGATATGTCCGCAGAGAGGGTGTGTATAGAATGTTACGGTATATTTGTGCTTGCTTTTGTCGTCTGATACCAATGGAAACTAATCGATCCAATGTCTGGGGAACGACTTATAATAAACTATAAGTCCTAAATATGCATTTCTCACTTCAAATCCGTTTTGTTGCCTTTAACTACAGTGAACTGGTGTCCGCAATTTTTATGAAACTTCAGTTACCGATCTGAAGGCAGATCAAAAAAGGCATAGAAATAAATATAACGAAATATTTGCATCGGGTAATTAACAGTTATTCCACGAGTGCGCGTTGGATATGAGATGGTAGATGGCCAACGAAGCGTTTCGCGCCGAGTTGGCGATAATCATCTCATATCCAAAAAGCGTTAGTGGAATAATTGTTTTATTAAAAATGCCCACAAAATATCAAGAAATCTTCCCGACTTTATTTATAAAATCAACCGATTTTCAGCTTTTCTTTAATTTTGAGCAGACGCGTACAGTTACCATATTTGAAGACCGTGGTATAAAGGCTCATATACCCATGATGGCTAAGCCAATCAGAGCTCTAAAATTGCAACAAATCAGACCAGCAGCTTATTTAACTAAAAGATGTATTATTGAAGGGTAAAAGACCAAAATTTGGTTAACATATCTTTTATCTTTAAAAAGGTATAGCCTGTTTTATCAATAGTATTAGAGTGATGTTTTGTATGGCTAGAAACGGTACAGTGTTAATTGTATTACATATCTATGTTTTTTTTTTTCAGTTTAGTTTCCTCTTAAATGTTTAAAATGAAATCCGTGGCAGACTAAGGTCTTAGTCAGTTTAACATTTTAGTTAAGTTATTGGCTCAAGAAATGGAAAAGTCTAGTTATTCTGCCATGATGTATTTGGTCTGACCTAACAAAATATTGAGAATGTAAAATTGCTGTTTTGTTTTTACAATTATTTCTTTAAAAAAGGCCGTCAGAGGAAACATAATTGTGCTAGATGTGTAGGAAAAAAGTGTGGTTGTCTTGTATATCATAGTTTGAAAACATGTGATCTAGTAGAAAATGAGTAATTATCAAATAAGTTTCGGTAACGGAAGTTGCAGGAGGAAGATAATATTTCATTTCTCTTCCAATTGTACTCACTTTTGGGATACAGACCGTCTTAAATTAATGACAATGCATATAATTCAAACGCGATTTACGCAAAGAAACTGGCATAAAATGAGTTACAAAGGGAAATCGGAAAATTCCTCACACCCTTTTTGAGTCTATATCATTATCCATCATATCTGAAAGTTTCAAAGCGATAGCTTAAAACCTGTCCCGACTGGAGGTCGGAGAATTTTGATTTTTGCGTCTAAAATAGAGTGAGAGAAAATCAGCTCTAAAGATTTAGCGCGAGGTCCACGCTTGGCTGGTTAGCTCAGAAAAGGCTCATTTTAGAAGGGTTAAAAAGCACTTTCTGATTTTCTTTTTCTTCCAAAATAAAATTTAGGACCCACTCATGCCAAAAATCCCAAAAAAACAAAATCGAGCAATGTACTAAAATTTTCATTTACCGAGACCTTAACTTGGATCTTAAAAAAAAATGGATTTCTCCAGTCATTCCGAATAAACATGCAATGATTAATCGCTACGTACTGCAGGAGTTACAGGTCTTCATGTCTCTAGTTACTTAAAACGCCTTCTTTTGCAGTTTGGTTGTGCTTATATGCAAGTCAGAAAAGTTAGTGCTGGGACATACAATTATTCCAGACAACACAAACACTCTATCAAAAAGTTTTTTAAATTGTCTCAAATAAGGACTTCAATCCAACATCTGCAATAAATAATAAAGAAAATTCCCCTATCCTATTCCCCATCCTAATGTCCAGGTTTGTCGATCGTATATCAAACCTAGATTTTTGAAATACACCACCAGTGAAACCCAGTAAATATAGTCACAAATGGATAAAAAAATCTGCCTTATTAACTGGGCGACCGTATGACCGGGGCAGGATCAAATTTCATGAATTAGGGGCCGTAATGACAAATACACCATACATCGCATTTGCACTTAAACAACCGGAATGAATATATCGCGTACAGTAATTGTAAAAACTACTCGAAACTTCCCTTCAGCACATAAAAGACTTTTGAAAATCGGCTATTTGAAAACCGCCACGAATACATTTTAAGTGTGCTGTGGTGTAAAAACAGTACAAGGACAGGCTCAGCTTAATTGGTCAACGAAATTGACATGTCACAAGGATTTTAGTTGTCTAACTTTCGAGTGGCCCTATTATACGGGGTGAAATTCTAAAAGATGCTACTGTTTGGGATTTTAAAAGTAACATGGCCGTTGGCAGTATTAACGGGTGACCGCACAATCAAGGTTTTTATATATATATATATATAAGAACATATGTGTCCGTTTCGCCGAGCGAAAAAGAGTGTCCGTAGCAACTAAACGACGTGGCCGTATTCCCGTGGTGGCCGTAAGGCGGGGTTTCACTGTATTTATACTTCGCTCTCCGAAACCGAATCGCATTCTTGACGCCTGTAAAACTTAGCTATTAATTGTAAAATTAATAAGCTGATTGGCTATCTTTGTCAGATGTGAAACAGAGTAACCAAGACACCAAGAATATTATTTTCCTCGATCTTTATTAAATAGCCCTTTTGGCTAGTCTCCTTCGCAGACACGCAAGCTCCCCGTGACTCGGGTGGAAGCAGCTGCGAAGGAGACTACCATTTCGCATGTATTAACTCCTAAACAGAGAACGTCTTGCTACAATCTGGAGAAGCTAGAATTAAACCTAACATCTACCCTCACAAGTAGCCTGCTACACAGCCTTTCTTTGAATCGTCACGCAGCACTCCTCCCCGAGGAGCATTGCGTGACGACGCAAAAACGGCTGTGAAGCAGACTACCCTTATAAGCAAAGCTGAAAGATATTCTATTAAGCAACTGGTGGCTCTACTTCCTCTATGATAATCTTTGTGGCCTGAATCCCACCATGAGAAACAGTGCTGCATGACGGATGACTCCCCAGACAGTCGCCAACGTTAAACTGAACTTGTACTTTACCCTCAGGAATACCACCACAATAGCCCTCTATCTTGACCGGCTGGGGTTCGTTGAACCATTTCAACCCTTTTTCATGGGATAAAACACCCTCAATTGCAGATGGGGTCTTGCACTCTTCACCGTTGAAGGTGAAGAA